TCGAGTCCCGCATCGGGCTCCCTGCTCGGCAGGGAGTCTTCTTCTCCCTCTGGCCCTCCCCCCTCTCATGTGCTCGCTCTCATTCTCTCTCTCTCAAATAAATAAATAAAATCTTTAAAAAAAAAAAAGTCTAATGAAGATAGGATTATAAAATGGAATAATTTAAATTGAAATTATCTAATCCAGACTCTTCTAGTTCAAGAATCTCCTTTACATGATCCTTAAAAAGTCATCTCATCTTTCTGAATACTGACACTGCCTTAGCATAGTAATAGGGCGTAATACTGGCTTCCTAACTTAGCAGCGTCATTTTCCAGGCAAAGAAGTACTTAAGGTATATGTTGGTCGCTCTGCAGGATGCTCCTTGCCAAAGGGCTTCTGCTTACTAAGCCATTTGGAGGATAACCTTACGGGGCTCAGTTATACTCAGGACTAACTCCAGAGCCCTTTGGGATGGAACAAACTTCTCGGTGTTCAGGGATGTCAGCTGCTCCCAGATCTTGCTTCCGTTCAACTCCTTCCCAATTCCTATAGAACTAATTGATTAGTATTGGACAAGTATTTATCTAAGATGGTATAAATGTCCTGAATAGATATTCTTCTCAATTTCACTTTTCTTCTTTTTCCAGTCTAGGTACCTCTCCCTACCCCTTCCTCTCACAAACATTCTGTAGTTCAAGACTCAAAGACATGCCATTATTTTATGTGCCCCTAATGAAAGAAAAAAAAATCCTGCCAATTAAATTAGGTCAGGGACGCCTGGGTGGCTCAGTGGTTAAGCGTCTGCCTTGGGCTCAGGTCATGATCTCAGGATCCTGGGATTCAGCCCTGTGTTAGGCTCAGTTCTCAGTGGGGAGTCTGCTTCTCCCTCTCCCACTGCCCCCTCAACCCCGCTCATGCTCTCGCTCTCAAATAAATACAATCTTTTAAAAAAATAAACTGTGTCACGCAATTATAAGATGCATCCCAGTTTCAGACATGTTAAAATGGGAGGGTATCTCTTAGAATTGATGAGAAGCAGCATTACTGCTGCTGTCAACAGTGATATTGAAGATCCCAGGCCCCAGAGATGTATTTTATTGCTTTCTTCTCTTCCTCATTGGTTACATTGTAATATTCTCTTCCTTCAGTGGTAGGACTGCTTAAAGTGAATTGTGTGGGGAAGGTATTAGGCCTTGTTTAGATAGAAAGCATCATTTAACAGTTGGTTGTCCTGGGCAGGAAAGGTAGCAAGCCAGATTGACAGGGCTTCTGCTGTAGCTCTTCCCCAGGCTGTTAGGGGAGATGCTTTGGTGAGCCAGTTGTTGGGATAAAGTGACTGCACATGACTCTACCTAAAGCCAGCTGGTTTTAATAACAGTGAATTGAATTAACTCAATTGGAAAAGATTGGTAGCTGCTGTCCTTATCCTGTAGATCTACTTTAAAGAGTCTGGCAGGGAGCCGGAGACCTGTTCCCGGGAGAGCCAGGCAAGATGCTGCTGGAGAGGAACAATATGCATTTCTTTCTTGAGACCATTTCCTTTGAAACGTGTTCTATGGCAGGAGCTTGACTGGCTGCCAAGGCACATTTGAGTTGGGAAGCAGTGTGGCAGACTCGGCAAACTGGGGGGTCCCTGGGCCATATTTATCAGATGTGTTTTAATTGGCCCTTGTACAAAGAGGGAAAAAATGTTTTAGCTAAAATTTAACAGGAGATTTCATGGAAAAGTCCAGATTTCTGGCTTCCCTTAAAAAACAGGAAGAGCCTGGGGCACCTGGGTGGCTCAGTTGGTTAAGCGGCTGCCTTCGGCTCAGGTCATGATCCTGGAGTCCCGGGATCGAGTCCCGCATCGGGCTCCCTGCTCGGCGGGGAGTCTGCTTCTCCCTCTGACCCTCCTCCCTCTCATGCTCTCTGTCTCTCATTCTCTCTCTCTCAAATAAATAAATAAAATCTTTAAAAAAAAAAAAAAACAACAACAGGAAGAGCCAGCAATACTGAGCCCACATTCTAGGTTGGACTCACAGTTGAAACATACTCACTTTTTACCTGCAGGGAGCCTGGAAGGTCCTACAGTAGGGCATTGTGGTTTGAAGCATTTTGGAGTTGACTTTCTCTGGAGTCCTGGTGCTATCACTAAATAGCCCTGTGCACAGTGCCATATACTTAACTTTTAGGCCCAGTGTTCTCATGTTTGTATAGTAATGCCTACCTTGCTAGGTTGTGGTGAGTTTTAAGTAAGGAAATATATATGAAGTGCTTAGTATTTGCCTGGCACCAAAAAAGTGCTCAATAAAATGTGGGTGTATTGACATACGATCATTTGAACTTACGATTGGGCTAGATTATATAATTAAAGATTTTTGTCAGTTAAGAGAGCATGAGGAGTACTCCTCACAAAAAGGGTATGGGCAGAGCAGAATGAGTAGGAGATAAGGGGATGTGGATTAGGAAACATGGAGAAAACTGAACACCAAGATAAATGTTGGCACTACCTGAATATCTCTGGATATGCCTAATTTTCCCCTCCTGTGTTGATCCCAACCTCCTATTTGTCTGCTGGAGATACTGCAAATAGAAATAAGATCATGTCTCTGAAGCACTTGTTCATTTCTTACAGAAGAGCAGTATTCAGCATAATACAGTGGCCCTGTCCAGTGTGGGAGCTTTGTAGCTCATTTATTTATGTCTCTAAGTATTTAGTTTGTAGGAAGGGTGTGATCCCAGATAGCAGGTGCTAGCTAGCTACAAAGGGGGATGTTATTTATCTCTCCCCCTATTTTTCCCTTATGAATGACCTCTGAGTTGGTAATTGACAGGGATTATTGCCATTTTTTTAATCTCTGCTAGGAGGCTGCTGGAGTCTTCCCTCATTTCATTATCCCGTTATGATGGAGCAGGATCCAGAGAGCACCCAATTTACCCAGACCCAGCGAGGTAAGGCCAAAGTGAGAAATGGCACTAGGTGGGGGGGAGGGGCTGCCCTTGGGGTTGCCAAGCTGTTGGAAGCCCCATTCTGTGCCTCTCTGGTCCTGGTGCTCTTTTACTCTTCAGTTAACAGTTTTGAGACAGGTGGTTCAGGTGATTGGGAAGTGTTGCAGGTAAGTGAACAGAACCTCTGGTGGCAGAGGGTTGTGACTGAGCTCTTGTGTTTTGGGGCTCATTTCTGTAAGTGGGGCACTTAGAAGAGGAACCTGAGGAGGCCACTGGCAGAGTCACAGGATACTCTTTTTTTGCTGATCAGGGAGGCTGTTGCCATTCAGATGGAAAGCCAAAAGGGAAACAAGTTGTTATTAATAGGGAAATTACTTACAAATTAAAACTAACCAACTAACAAATAATCCTACTTGCCCTCATTTGAGAGAGAATTTAGGCTATCAAAAGGTAGAAGTCAAACTCATTCAGATGTTCAATTTTTAGATGCAACCTAAAGGAAGAGATGACTTACAAAAGGGTAACTAAATAAAACAAGTTGGCATTTTATTAAAGTGTTTACCTTACACTGATCAGAAGATATTTGAAGAGTTCTCAAAGAGATTAAAAAAGCACTTAGACAAGTTCAAGGCCCACCCCTAAGTAATACTGGTGACTGAGGACCAAGGATGGGTGTTGAGTTGATGTATAACATTTATTTATAGTGACCAGCCCTTTGGCGTTATCACAACCAGATTTACTGATTCTGTTAATGACCTAAATAGGGGATAACCTTTACATTATGTAAGCAATACCAGAGCATATGTGAGACTTTGCCAAAAGAAAGAGCAATTTGTAATGGTGGGGTTGGCAAGTTAACAAATATAGGTTTGATGAAGCTAAATGAGCTTTGCTTTAGATTAAGAATTTCAAGTCTGGAAAGACCCGTAGACCAAGTTGATTCTAGAGATATTGAGTGATTTCACTGTTGCCACAGTTATGTCATGATACTGAGCATTCTTTCTGAGAGACTAATGAAAGGATTCCCCATTACCCTCTTACTTCCTTTTCCATACCCCCGAAATGGCAAATCCAAGGATCGGGGAACATTTGGAGGCAGCTGAGATGATGATGACCAAACCAAGGAAGTTTATGTTAGTCTCTGATCACACTTGAAAGTAGTAAGTCCTAAATAAGAGAGGGAGATTTTATGTGTCAATCAGATTACTCTGAAACACTGAGAAGAGAATTTCTTGCTATAAAAGAGTTTCTTTTAGGACAGCAATAGGAATCCCATCCCCAGAATTTTTAGCCTGACAGAGTTTAACAGTGATCCTTAAAGACCATTGTTTGTCCTCCTTTCATGTAATGAATCTTTTATTTACTCCCACTCAGATCTCTTTATCACAGAAAGTGTCATACTTTGTGGTGTTGCTATTTTTACATTTTCTCTCTGAACACAGAATAGGTTTTCTTTGGAGGAGAAAGTATTCTTCCTTGAAGAAAACTTGCAGATTTATTTAAACATTTAAAATTTTTACTTGGGACACTAGAGTTTGGTGATTATCCAGCTCTTCAGTAGGAGGATGATTGCTACTTCATACTGGTTGTTTAATTTCTTTTTCCTCTTAGACTTCACCATACACAACACATATAGGTCAAAGCCTTTATGGGCCATTTCAGCATTCAGATCCTTAGCTTCCCTCTGGATACCTAAAAAAGATGAGGCCAGGATGTACTTGTATTTGATAATTGTGCCAGGAATCCGTTTTTCTTTACCATTGATGCATAGTTTTGTAGCTTAGGGAATTCCTATCCTATAGTGAAATTAAACAGTTGGGGTTACCTAGTGCTGAAATTGTGCCCTTACATAAAAGGGTAGTCTTTATTATTGTCTGCATCAACATTCTTTCTACTTCTGTCACCAATAATATAATTTTCCCATTAGTTAGGGTGGGCTATCAACTGAGGAATGAGTATACTTATGGTCACTTTTCAGAATCAGTTCCAAAAAAAGAATCTTCACTCTGTTCTTGAAATGTTTTTTACATTCTTTCCTAGTCTGATTGACTTGAGAATTTAACCTTCAGTGATTGACTTCTGGAAGATTTCTGTATATTTAGTAGATAAAAAAACAACTCAAGAGTGCTGACTTTTGTCTCTTGAAAAATTTAGGATTGTTGATTCATCCTTGAAAAATGTATGGCAACAGGGGGCCAATGGATGATGAAAGCTCCACACGTTGAGACTTTTAAGAAATGATTCTTGTACTCTGATGATTGTGGCCAAGGCATCTGTGCATCCCTTGCCCACCTGCTGTATAATTTGGATTCGGGGATGCCAAATACAGTATATTGTTCTATTACAAGGACTTTTGAGTTCCAAAGATTGTAATTTGGCCTGCTTGGGAATTCCATTTGATGATTGGCCAGAAGGATACCACCTCTGATGACTGGCATTTCAGAGGTAGCCTTAGTTCCTATAGCAGGTAACTGCAGAATCTCTTTGGTCTGAGTCAGTGGATTTACTGAGGATTTTCCCAGAAAGTTTGTCCAGGGGTAATGAAAAGTCAGGCAGCAAGATTTTGTAAATAGTTTTCCTATCAATTGATGTAACTATTACTATTTCCATTCTCAATCAGTTTCTCCAGATTTCTAAAAAAAAAAAATGTTTTTTTCCTTTTATATTCAAATATTATAGAAGTTAAGATTCCCAGGAATCCTCATTAGGATTGCTGTGTTTCCTTTTAATTTTTTGTTCTAATTGCAGAAATACATATGCTTTTATATATATTAGTATATGCATACCATTCTTCAATTTTTCTCCCACTTAAATTTTTGCTTTAGAGGGTTTTTCTTGTGTGTATATAGGGATGACTTATTCTTTTTTAATAGTTACATAGTGTTTCTTTGTACAGATATAGTTTATTTAATCTGTTGGTGGGCATTTGGGACGTTTTCCAGTTTTTCACTAATGCTAACAACATATACAGATACATACATACCTGTGTATCCTTGTGTTTTCCCGTATGATAAAATTCCTAGTGGAATTGTTGAGTTAAAGTGTCTGCCTCAGGCAAGTTTTAAGGCTGGAAATTTCTTAGTAATCCACTTAATATTATCATATAAAACATTTTTCTATTATTGTTCTTCTCTCACTTTCTTAGTATGTAGCAGTATTGTGAAAGATGGAAGAAAAACTTGAGAAAGAAGGGAATCTGGTGAATTGTGAAACACTAGATGTTTTCATGGAATATGAAGACACTAAGCCACAGTTAGAAGAATAGAGGTCTAGACTAATTATCCACTGAGAATAGCCATGGTAAAGGAGAAGAAAAAGGAATAACTGTTGCCTACTACATTGCTTTGTGCCCACATAGCCTCTAATGCTCTGTTGTAAGAAATAGAAAAATCTTTTTTCCCTGTTAGGTTTTGTTTTCCTGAGTATCTTTTAGTCTCTTTTTCGATCCTAAATATTTTCTCTGTGTTACAAATATCTGTGAGTAATCCATAGATCTGAGAGGTTCAGGGAGCTCATTTTAGGGGCTCATTTAGGACAAATCTGGAGCTGTGTGGATTTGTTGGAGAGGAAGGACGTCCTGGTGAAGATGGCGTCTGCTTTGGTCATGCCTGGTTTGCCATCTCTTGGCCTCTTTCTCCTGTATAAAATGAAAGAAGACCTGGCCCCTAGATGATTATTGTGGTCTCTTTTCGTTTCTTATATTTTGAGTATGGATGATTGAAGAAGGCCGTGAATCTGTGTGAAGAGCACCCTAAGAAACTACGAGGGGTCCCTTAAGAAACTAAAAAGGAAGGTCCAGTGTTATACCCTTGGGAGGGGCAGCCGTTGAGCAGATGATGACTGATTCAACAGCCTCTTTGCCTTCTCTCAGAACAGAAACACTGGTGGTAGTCTGATAAGCATATTGTGCAGTACAGACCTCCTGGTGAGTTAAATGCCCTTTATTTTTCATGTCTCCGGAGTTCACCTCAGCAGGGAGATGCCCTGGGAGAGCTGGATTTACTGTCTTTCACAGTATTCCCCACATTAGTGCTAGTTTGTGTTTGTCCATCTCTGTCTCTCTCAGATTATCTCCTGCTGCATACTACGCCCAGAGGATGATCCAGTATCTCTCACGGAGAGACAGTATTCGCCAGCGCTCCATGCGCTATCAGCAGAACCGTCTCCGTTCTTCCACCTCCTCTTCCTCAGACAACCAGGGCCCATCAGTAGAGGGAACCGACTTGGAGTTTGAGGACTTTGAGTAAGTACCTCCTTAGCTTGTTTCTTCCCTGTCCTCCCAGCTGTGTGTGCTTCCCCGTTGACCGCTGTCCAAGCAGCAGTGGTTGACATTTTTGCTTCAACCCCCTAAGTTATTATTTATGAGTTATAGGATGGGGTGAGGGAAAGGGGGTTAAAAGGCTCAGCCCCCGCCGCACCTCCCCACCTCTGGCAGTTGTGCTGCTGATTCACCGGAGCCTGTGGGGAGAGACAGCCCACTGGCCCCAGGCCAGGCTGGAGAAGATGGTACCGCTCATAGGCAGCGCTTCTATTTCCCTTTCACATGAACGGTGGCTGTGGAAGTGCTTCTCATGGCCTGTCTTCCCAACATCAGGGAGACAGGATGCTGGATATTTTTTCTCTTAAGCAGAGTAGGTATAGAGACTAGAAATAATGAGAATGCCCAGATTTCCCTAAAGACAGTTCCTTTTAGTACCCTTGAATCACACGGATTCTTTGAGGTCCTACTCCATTGCCTAAACTTTCTCCCTCCCCCCACCTCTCCCATAAGGATCCTTTGAAAGTTGCCTGTCAAATTAATGTGATGGCTTGAGAGGTGATTCCTTGCTCTTCTGGTGTTTTTGAGTGGTTGATTGGAGGGTGGGGGTGAGCTGGAGGAGCACGGTTAGCCCCACACACAGGATTAAACCCCTCCGTCTCACTGCTGTGTTTGAACTCTCTGACCTGCTGCTCCTGACCTTTCTAGCCATTCGTTGTGTTTCTTTCCATTCTCAAAGCTTCCCTGGCTTGTATCAAATTGGACATTTGGCTCTTGTTTTGATTTCCTGTATTTTGATATTCTCAAACATGCAAAATGAGTGAGAGAGAGAGGTGTTTAAGGCTTTTTTTTTTTTTCTCCGTCTGTACTGGAATAGGACAGCCTGTCAGTCATTTTCCTTTATTTCCCCTCTGCATCTTGACATAGCCTGGTCAGGTCTGGGATATTAAGAGTTCTTGCGTCCCCTTCGACCTTCCTCTTCCGTGAGCTGAATGGATGGTTCCCCAAGAGTCACCTTGCAATAGAGCTTTAAGATGCGTTGGAGAAATCTCTCTGACAGTGATGACTAAGAAGGTGGAAACAACCTTTATAACAATTTGCCTTCCAGTTATGATTCTTAAACACACTAGCAATTGTGTACTTGGAAGCAGAAGGCAGACTGAATGGGCGGTTCATTTGTCTGGGGAAGATGTAAACGTGAAAGAAATGCAGGGATGCCCTGAAGCAACTGCGGTGGCACGTGGAGCAGGGGTGCTGGTCCTCTCTCATTGGCTGCCCACTGGCTCCTACCCCATGTCATTCTTCCTTCAGTCCACTATAGGGGAAGGTGGATGCATATACTGGCCGTGAGGGGAAAGAGAGTCTCCACTCTCTCAGTCAGGCATCCGCCAGGAGTGAAATATGTTCCCCTGCAGGTTCTGATTATTTTTTCAGCACTGGGGTCTATTCAGGGAAGCAGTTTCAAGTACATGCCAAGACTGCCGGGACTTAGTACCGCTGAAAAGCCTCAGTAATCCTGGGGAGCTCTGGGAGTCAGTGCAGATCGCATAGCCTCCCTCCATGCACGTTTGGAAGGCTGTGTTATCTCTTTGCAGTGGTGAAACGTGGCACTGATGCCTTTGAGCTGTATCTTGCCTCGTGACTTGTCCTTCACAATGGAGTTCTGGGTTAGTTTAAAATGTTCTGTTCTCATCTTACCTTCTCTTTCTTCTGCTACCACCTCCTCCCTCTCCTCTTCCTTCCCCCTCGATTTTCCTGTGTCAGACTGCCTCCTCCTTGTGCTCCCCACAGCCCACCTGTGCTCTCACCTCCCCCCCTGGCTTCAGCACGACCTGAATTTACACTGCCTTCCTCACCTTTCCTGCACTGACTTACCATTGTTTCTCCCTAGGGGTCTTCCATTGCTCCCTGGTAAGTAACAATGGGCTGATTTCTCTCATGCCCCTCTGAAAGTCCTTCACAGGGTGTTTGCCTTTCTTTTTGGGCTGATGCAGACTGTAATCTTGTTTTTATTTTTTTTTAAGATTTTATTTATTTATTTGACAGAGAGAGACACAGTGAGAGAGGGAACACAAGCAGGCGGAGTGGGGGAGGGAGAAGCAGGCTTCCCGCCGAGCAGGGAGCCCAATGTGGGACTCGATCCCAGGATCCTGGGATCATGACCTGAGCCGAAGGCAGACGCCCAACGACTGAGCCACCCAGGCGCCCTGTAATCTTGTTTTTAATAACAGCTGTGGATTAGTCACTTCAGTATTAGTAGTCCAGGTCTCCTAGTGAAGGAAGTTGCTAGCTGGCTGATGCTGAGTTACTGTCTGTTCATTCTTTCTCTGTCTCTTCCCTGCCCTCCTTCCTGTTGTAAACTGAGTGCTGCTTGTGGTTGCTCCTCTTCTCTTAATTTCTAGGTGCTGTGAAGCAGGAGTGAGTGAGAAATGAGGGAATGTACCGACCCATTTTAATTTCTCTGCCCCAATCCTTTTCCTTAGCTTTGATAACTAGAAGGAAGGTCAGAAGCTTGTACAATCATAGTTTATAGTTCTTTCAGGTACAGAGAAGCAGGTAAGTTAGACACGGCCTGGAATCCTCCTAACACTTAGGGTGCCATTAAGAGAGACTGTTCTACTGGTTTCCTCGCCTTCATAGTACACCATGCTCCTGCCTTTGCCATCCCACTTCGACATCTTCAGCTCTCTTCCCATTTGCTAAGCCAGGGATCATTTTCCCATTCTCTACCTTGTCCCATCTAGGTATATAAAGTAGCCAGATCCCATCTTTTTTGGTTCTTTTCCATCATTTATTGAATGAAAGATATCAGCTATAGTAATATTTTTCATATGTATACTAATTTATAACATACAACACATTTATAATATATATAAATATATTAATATACTTTATATATATATTTAAAAATTTTTTTTGATCCTTATAATACCCTAATGAGGTATTTACTCCATTGTAGTATTTTTTTTTTTTTGAAAGATTTTATTTATTTGACAGAGAGAGACACACTGAGAGAGGGAACACAAGCAGGGGGAGTGGGAGAGGAAGAAGCAGACCTCCCGCAGAGCAGGGAGCCCGATGCGGGGCTCGATCCCGGGACCCTGGGACCATGACCTGAGCCGGAGGCAGACGCTTAACGACTGAGCCACCCAGGCGCCCCAGTATTTTTTTTTTAATGAGGATACAGAGACGACCAAAATCAGACATGTCTGAGATTCGAGAACAGGAGCAAACATACTAAGTGTCTGGTTTTTATTGTCCTGCAAATTGATTGATTGATCGATTTAAAGATTTTTATTTATTTATTTGACAGAGCAAGAGAGCACAAGCAGGGGGGAGCAGTAGAGGAGAGGGAGAAGCAAGCTCCCTGGAGCCAGATGCGGGGCTCGATCCCAGGACCCTGGGATTACGACCTGAGCCGAAGGCAGACTCTTAACTGACTGAGCCACCCAGGCACCCCTGTTCTGCAGATTTAAAAACCTTTAAAAATGGAGGGGCCTGGGTGGCTCAGTCGGTTAAGCATCTGACTCTTGATTTTGGTTCAGGTCATGATCTCAGGGTTGTGAGATCAAGCCCCGCGTCAGGCTCTGCACTCAGCGGGGAGTCTGCTTGAGATTCTCTCTCCCTCTGCCCCTCCCCTGCATGCACTCTCTCTCTCTCAAATAAATAATAGATCTTTAAAAATATATAAATAAAATAAAAACCTTATAAATGATATAGAACCACATTTGAGCTCTTGCTCCCTGAATTTGCTGTGGAAGAAGACTATCTAGATTTATCTCTAGGGAGGATAGCTTTGAAGTTTGGTCAGCATCAGGTTAAATTTTCTGTTCTTTTGTGGTCTGGATTAATGACCATCTACCCAGGCAGGCATCTTCTCCTGCCATTCATCTCTGTCTGCGGCCAGGATTGAGACTGCAGGGTCCCTGTGTTTATCAAAATGCACAAATAGGACATCCAGAAACCTGCTGTCAGAAGGTCTGTCCTGAAGTCTTCAGCATCTGTCTTTGCATAAAGATGTTCACAAGCAGGGTAAAGGTGTGGCTGCCCCTGACGTTGCTGTCTGCCTGCTTTTGAGCCCAGACCATCTGCTAGAATGTAGAAAGCAAATAAGCATAAGGAAAAATGCCATTTTAATTTTCACCATCCCTTTGGAAAGAGAGGGAGGCTTTTATGAAGCACTGCGGTTAAGTGCCGTGTCCTAGTCATTGCTGAGGCCTGCACAAGTGGTGGTATGTGTCTGTTGTTCCTGTTATCCTCACCCCCTTCCTCATGTTATCTCTTCTTCTAAATGTAATTATAATCCCAGAATCATCCCCAGTTTATTCCTGCCCTTCTTGTGTCTTTTTGTAACTGCTTTGCCTTCCAAGGCAAAGAATCCCCTGAACCGATGACAGAATTAGAGAAGCTTCAGATTGGATCAGTCGCAAATATCTCCACCAGCATACCAGCCAGAGGGGAATTATATTCACTTCTTAAAATTGTTGCTAGCACAGAAAAGAGCAAGTTCTTAATTTACCGTTGTGACACTGGGCTGACTTTGGAAAAACATCTCAATGGGAATTCTAGTCCTTCAGCCTTAAGATGAAGTCTCTTTAGGTCTATTACATTTGTTTTCTTCATTTTTCTAATTTATCTGGTTGTATTTGATTTTTTACCCAGAAATGCATATTGTGACCAAACAGGCAAAAATGTTTCACCGTATGGCAGTCATTTCTAGGTGCCAGAGATGGTTTCTGGTTCCTTAGCTTGGCATGAAGTGTTGTGGCAGGACCACATACACATAGACAGCCTCATGCAGAAAGAGTTCCTCCTTTTATGGTCCCCGTGCTAGACACCTTCTGGCAAGGAAGTTGTTAAAAGGTCTTTTGGTCTGTGGTGTAGCTGAGGATTCTGAAGGCTGTCACTCCGCTTTGCCATCTGACTGGGCTGGTGTAAGAGAGGTTGCTTGCCTTGAGTTCAGAAGTTAATATTTTTCACCTGCT